TGCCATCACCTGGCTGACCTATCATTTTTTGTGGTGAGATATTTGAAATTGACTCTTAGTTATTTTGAAATATACCATACATTATTATCTTAATCTGCAAATAAATCTACTTTAAAAATTAGCTATGGCAAGGGGCTATGGCAAGGGCTATGATATTTTTGCAGTGGTTGATCATTTATTAGACATAATACTTTGAATAAAACATTTCTATATTTTGGCTTAAGGCAAATGAAATGTGTATTAAATATTTAAATTCTATGCATATATTTAATAAGTGGTTCTAAACAATTGATTTGCCATTTGGAGAAAATCAATAATTTTTACCCAAGTATCAAATTCTAGCTGCCTTGAAGAGTTAAATGTTCTAGAAATCAAGCAGAAAAACGTAAGTGAATGGGTTTTTTATATTTCTGGATGATTGGGGTCTTTCATAGCTAAAAACGAATATAAAAATAACAAAAAAGGCTGGTAGGTTTGGATCACATAAGAATAAAACAAACTTTTTCATGTCAAACAGACAAAATTAAAAACAAGCAACAAACTGGCAGGAGAGGCAAAAGCTTAAAATTCCCATTTATTTATACCACTTGATAAGAGGGTCCAAATATTAAGTTGGCAAAGGACGTAAACACCCTTTCATCCTTTGAACAAAGGAATAAAAAAACAAATGATTAGTAACTATATAAAAATGTTCGTTACTAGTAATCAGAAAATAAAATTAACATGAGATATTTTTACCCTACTTTATTGGGAACATTTTTTTGAAATGGTAATACTCAAATGCCAGGCAGGGTTCGATCGGAAGGAAATGTACCCAAATGTGAATAGTGGTGTTAGTTACAATTTTAATTTTTTTTATCTATACTTTTCTGTATTTTTCCACAATAATGGAAAATTAGGGGATAATTATTACTTGTTTAGTCAGGAAAAAAAACCAACAATATTATTTTACTTAAAATCCTAGTCTTTGGCCATGCCTGGTGGCTCATACCTGTAATCCTAGCACTTTGGGAGGCTGAGGCAGGCAGATTGCTTGAGGTCAGGAGTTCCAGACCAGCCTGAACAAGAGCAAGACCCCATCTCTACAAAGAGTAGAAAAATTAGCTGGGCATGGTGGCATGTATCTGTAATCCCAGCTACTCGGGAGTCTGAGACAGGAGGATTGTTTGAGCCCAGGAGTTTGAGGTTGCAGTGAGCTATAATGATGCTACTGCCCTCTAACCAGGGCGACAGAGCAAGACTCTGTCTCCAAAAAAAAAAAAAAAATCCTAGTCTTTGAAGATTTTTCCCGTTTAAACTGGGCAGCTCTAATTTTCACCTTGGGAAAGATACATGAATTTTTCTCAGCTTATCTAAAGCTGTCTAGTGATTTTTTAAAAAATTATATTGAATTCCTTGATTCTTCTAGAGTTTATGTTGGTATATGGTATAAAGTTCTGATTATTTTCTCCAAATGACAAATCAATCTTTCCACCAACACATAGGAAGTATCTTTATAAAAAAAAAAAAAAACAACACACCCACATTGTTGACCTAATATCTGTTATTAGAGAACATAATTTGACCAAGATTAGCTGGACTGGGTGCATGTTATTCTGAGGTTCTGTGATATATAATAGATATTTATATTGATAAAGCATCACTCCTATAGCCCTAAGCAATTTCCCTTTGCGCATCCTTCCCGCTGGTCATCAAGGTGTCCTAGGTTGGTGCCACTATATATAGACCCAGGAGCTCGTCGATATCTTCCTTCAATCAGTCATGGTTATGGACCTTTTTTTTCTCTGTGGTCTCTGAATGAAGCCTTCTCCACCCACCTTTCATTTTTTTCCTTACTCTAGCTTAGTCACCTTGAGAAAATCCCCTGCTGCTTCTGCGTGTAACACAAATGCATGCACATTTGTAGGCCAAGAAATGACATCTAAGCCTGTTAAGCAGGTAACTAGTGTTAGTGTAAGACTAACACCTACATCAAGAAGGAGAAAAACCATAAACTTTGATCTGACATTAGACATAATAAAATTGATGCCTTTTGCCTCTCAAATCCCTGAAATTTAGAAGCTCCTTGAAAATTTTTAGCAAAGGTTTAGCTCCACTGAATAGAATTATTTACACTTGCTTATCTTTAAATTAAACCAGTATTCACAATAATTTATTGTTATATAATTTTGCTCTTTAAAATACTGTTTCTTCAGTAATGTTTTTTCATTTTAAATATTCTATGAATTTAAATATGCATTATGGATCAAATAGTCTTCCAAATTAAACCAGGAAGCAAACCCAACATTTTATGTTGATTCTGTTAGAAAATGCAATTTCAAATACACTTTCAAGTAGTTTTGATCTACACTCCACTTATAAATTAGATATTTCTTTCATATTACCCTATGAAGTACTAAATATTGGTCACAATTATATTTGGTGTTACTTTGAATATGCATTGTTAATATTGCCATTTAAAATAAGAATTTTGGCAATTTCTAAAATGTGTCACTTTCAGTGTGGAAACAGTATAACAGTGCATGTCACAGTTATCCCATGAGTCTTCCCCTTTTGCCCTTGGTAATCTAATGCCACATAGAGAAAACCTATAAAAGCATGTTAGAATTCTGCCAGGCCCAGTTTATATGTGGTAAGAAATTAGGTTTTATTTGTGCCATTTCTATGTTGCTTTTTCTTGGATTTGATACAAGATTTCATATTAACCATCTGTCTTAACAATACCACAAAACCTATCATAGCATAATAATTATATTTGGAGAAAAAATGTGCAGTGCCCTTAAATGTTGTTTGTTATGTTTTATCAGTGGAATTTATTCTTAAAATCATAATTTTCAACATGTTTACCTTTTCTGTTTATACCACAAAAGATTCTAGTGTATACAGGAGTTTTTCAGAATATTTATATTCTTGTAAAGTAAAAATTACTGCTTTATAAAAGTCAAGGCAGCTGTAATCATTTTGTTCTATTTCTCTAAAGCAAAATAATGGAAAAGGCATAGATGAGCTTTTTTCAGGCTTGATATGAAGACAGTGATATAATTGTCTGTAAAGAAAACAAAAGCAAAGACACCAAAAATCCTGCCATAATTGGTTAGTCTATAACATTCATATAATCATTATGACCTTTTAGAAAAAGGAAAAATCTGGCTGGGTTTGGTGGCTCATGCTTGTAATCCTAGCACTTTGGGAGGCCGAAGTGGGAAGATCGTTTGAAGTCAGGAGTTCAGGACCAGCCTGAGCAAGAGCAAGACCTCATCTCTACAAAAAAATAGGAAAAATTAGCTGGGCATCATGGTGCAAGCCTGTAATCCCAGCTTCTCTGGAGGCCAAGGCAGGAAGATAACTTGAGGAGCTTGAGGTTACAGTGAGCTATGGTAACGCCACTGCACTCTAGCCAGGCCACAGAACAAGGCTCTGTCTCAAAAAAAAAAAAGAAGGAAAAAAGAATATCACTCAGCTCTACATAATTGGTAAATTTAGAGAAAACTATATGAAATATTGGGGTTTGTGATAACTTATTACTACAAATTTTAAACTTCAAATTCCATTATTCCACAGTTTTATCATAATATAATTTTCTTAAAGAATAATTTCATAAACCTTATATGTTTAAGTGTTCTTGCTTTCATTAGCATTGTATTGTTTCCTGATATTGAGAGGCTTCATCCTTAAATAAGCAAAAATTATATGATGTACCTAATTGATAAAATAAAAATAATTAGAAGATAGAAACTTACTAATAGTAGAATTCTTTTTCCAGGGCCAATTTATCCTTTAGGCAGGGTAGGCACATGCCATGGACCTGCAAAATGTGTAGGTTTTCATTTTCACTTCTTTAAAATCAGAAGTAGTAAAATGTATGTATATATAAATAAAAATAGTAAACCTATGTAGTATTCTGTTTGTGTTTATACCAATACAGTCATAAATATATATATTATATATAATTTTTAGTATTTTTTTTATGGAGGAAGTACCCTACAAAGGCAGAAGTACCTAGAGCCTAGTAAAGTCATGTTGCAGTCCTACCTTTTATTTTTATTTTTATTTTTTTCCTTTTTTTTGTGGAGATAGAGTCTTCTCTGCTGCCCAGGCTGGAGTGCATTGTTGCTGTGCACTGTAGCCTTGAAGTTCTGGGCTCAAGTGATTCTCCTGTCTCAGCCTCCCAAGTAACTGGGAGTATAGGCACAAGTCACAGCACTGGCTAATTTTTTTCATTTTTTTAGAGACAGGGTCTTGCTATGTTGCCCAGGCTGGTCTTGAAGTCCTGGCCTCAAGTGATCCTCCTGCTGCAGCCTCCCAAGTCACTGGGATTACAGACATGAGCCACCACACCTGGCTCTTTTTTCTTTTCTTACACTATGACCTCATGAATACTTAAACTTCCAACTGACAGCTATGTTTATTGAAATATATCATCATAAAGTACGCAAATCATAAATGTATATCTGTGAAACAGCACCCAGATGAAAAAAATAGAAGTAATTTTTTGAGAGTGGCATTATAGCACTACAACTTCAAGTTTCTCTACCTCTTACAATACTGTGACAGCTGCTAAACTAGTCAGGATTTAAATATTCATATTTAAGGTGTATGGAATTTGCAAATAATAAAACTGTTTTCCTAGCTTTTTATTAAATATTCCCATCTTTCTGAGTCAAGGCTTGAATTATTCAATTAGAGAAATTTTTCTTCCACAGCTCGTTGCATTCTATTTCTCATCATTTGGCTCATAACTGGAGGAAGGCATCACTTTTGGTTCTTGCCAAATCTGACTGCTGATGTGGGCTTCATTGACTCCTTCAGGCCTCTGTACACACATGAATACAAAGGACCAAAAGCAGACTTAAAGAAAGATGAGAAATCTGAAACCAAAAAGCAGCAGAAGTCCGACAGTGAAGAAAAGTCAGACAGTGAGAAAAAGGAAGATGAGGAGGGAAAAGTAGGACCAGGAAATCACGGAACAGAAGGCTCAGGTGGAGAACGGCATTCAGACACAGACAGTGACAGGAGGGAAGATGACCGATCCCAACACAGTAGTGGAAATGGGAATGATTTTGAAATGATAACAAAAGAGGAACTGGAACAGCAAACAGATGGGGATTGTGAAGAGGAGGAGGAGGAGGAAGACTGATGGAGAAACACCTAAATCTTCACATGAAAAATCATAATCTGACTAATTTGGGACTGAATAAGTACAAGAGGTTGGATTTTCTATGTTGGCTGATCGTCATAATGTACACATGGCATCTGTAGCATTCTTTCAATCTATTTACTGAAATGTATTTGACATTCAAGAAGTTATATTCAGTCTTTCATTTTATAGAATATTGGTACTATTATTGGTACAGTTTAAAGCCATTAATGAATTTTATTCATTCGATAATTAATTTTACAGTAAGTAGGTCTCATTCATTTTGATAGTTATCAAAGAGGCACTTTCCACAATGACATTTAGATTAATGACATTTTTGATAGTTGTATGGCTTTTTACTGTTAAACTAATCAAAATAACTTTAAAAGAAATAAAGAAACTCCAATATTTCAGATTATGCATAGTTATGTAGCCATTTCATAGTTTCTTTAAGATGCTTAAAACTCATTGTTCTTGGTAAGCTTTTTTTTTTTCATTATAAAATTATACCAGGAAATTTCTTTTAAGATTCTAAGTTAGCAGGGTTCAAAAGCATTTTGTGGAAAAAAAACCAATAGTAACAATGCAGCAACACTTAGTTTAGCTACAAATTCTCCTTTTCCGATGTAGGAAATCCAAACTGATTTGTACGTCTGATTCAGAGAAAGATGGTCATCTCCAACAGAGAAAGTGAACAGCATTGGTTGGAAAGTCATGGCTCTTATTCCCCATTTGCTTGTCATAACGTAAAGTGTATTCTGTACATAATTTACGAATAAAACATTTTATTTTAATTGTTACTTATTAGACATTTCTCAACACTTAAATTTGTAAAATTAAGACCACATAAGGGTATGTTTTTAGAGAAATGGAAGTTTCAATAACCCAGAGAACATCTGTGATCTTTCTACAGCAGCTTCAGTTTTGTGCCAACATTCCATGTATTTGAATATGAGTAAAAACTGATCTTTATTAAATAAGGGCAGACTTAAAGTAGCTGTTTGTACGCCTTAATGTTCATTTTGATTTATTTTAAATCTTTACATTCAGAAATGGGGTACTGTATTATCAGACCAGGAGGCACTGCTGTGAAAGATAATTTACTGTTCTAAAATATCAATTTAAAATAAAGAATATAAAAGAAAACATAAGAGAACTATTGGACTCTAATTGCTTTGAACTAGTTTTGCAGTTTGATTTTGTGTCTTGCATACCTTAGTTACAAATCTTTTGGAAAAATCTTGTTTACTTATGAGCATAATCATTTCTTGGAGTTATACTTTTACAAACTGATAATGAATATTAAATGATTTTCCTTCAGTCACCATGAGAGCATTTTGCTTGGTAGTTGAAATAGGTAGTGTATGTCAGTCTTTTATTTTTCTTTAGGCTGTTTCCCATCTAAGTGTTTGACTAAAGATACTAAATTTTTCTAATTGTGAAAAAATACGTTTTCTGTATATTGACCCACTTTATTAAACATGGCTTGATTGCTTCCTTATAGTATTCCCTGTTAAGTGGACAGAAATGTGGTTATTTGATGTTAATGCAACTCTGTCAAGCCTGCAATCATTTTAAGAGTTTTTTCTTAGCAAATACTCATTGATGAAGTGCCTGGGTGTTTTCCACTCACATTTGCAGAGCTCTACTACTTTATTTCCACAGTAAGGATATGTTAAATTATAGCTTCTGAGCTTCTTAATCACTGGTATCATTAATATCTATTTTTGGGTATGAAAATGGTATTTTTTGGAAATAAAAATGATTTAGTTAACCTTGACTACTATGATAATACCCAGGCACTCAGTATTTATCCTCATGTTTTTTATGATATATGTACTGTGTCTAGTCTTAAAGACATTTGGAGCATGGCAAACAGGAAAGTCAACTTATCAATGTGTGTGGATTCTTACAGAGTGTTAGTACAAACTTTTATAAATATTTGGTGATCCCTGGGGGGAAATAATCATTCTTACTATGGTTAGAAAGTATGTTAGAAATTTCAGCTCAGTGTCTATTTTACTATTCAAGGTTATGTACTTTAAACAAATATATTAATAAAAATTAAAAAGCTGCCTCTGTTACAGTCCTCAGAAGAATAGATGGCTGTTTTTGTTGGCTAACATTAGATATTCTTGTACCAGAGCATGGAGAACTGTTTACAGTAGTTAATAGAATGGTGATTTTTAAGAAAAGAAAAGAAAAGAACTTCATATTTGCTATGCTATGAAAGTAGAAGTATGCAGCTTTTGGATAATGTAGGGTTTATTGTGGAGTGAGGGATCAATTGTCCCAACTAAGCAGGATTGGATTAACAAGAGATTTAAGTCCAGGTAGTAACAATAATGCATACGTGATTGTTCTTAAAGTCAGTTTATTAAATGGGTGTTTTTCCTTTTCTCTCCTGCTGAATTCTTTATTTTTCAGACCATAAGGCCTTTTAGGCAACTTTAATTGAAGTAATATAGATTTGGTTGAACATTATTGAGAAAGTAATAAATTTTAATATATCATTGAAATTATACACTGGTGATGGGTTTTGGTGTTTCCCCTCTCTTTCTGGTTTTACATCATGAGTATCAATTAGCTGCTGACAAGAAAAATCATCTATGTCTTTTGTAAATTGAATTTTCTTTTTTAAATATTAGGAACTGGAAAACAGCAAGTACAGTTGATTCTTGTTATTTGAGGTAGTTACTTTCTATAAAGTCACTGTGAACATTGAATTGGCAAATACTGAACCATTACTCCTAGGGGAAATACAGGGCTGGTTTTCTGCATCAACTAATCAATACGTAAACTTATTTTAGGTGCCTTTTTATTTTAAGGCACCTTACTTAATATAGTTGACTCATTAACATTGAACTCATGACCAGCTGTGTTATAACTTTCGCTGGAATGACGCTCACCTAACAGGTGTTTTCTCCATAAGGCACATCACAGTCTTTTTGCACTTAGAAACACTAGACAGCACGTCAGCACTATGCTTGGGGGCTATTTTAAACAGTGAAATCACAAAAAAAAAAGTAAAATCCATGGCATTAAATAGAGTAAAAAGGACACTTGTTTATAGTATGAGAGCTGGAACAAGAAGGCCTTGTTCAACCTCAGCTGAGAATGTGTACGTTCAGCAAGTCAAATTTTTGTTGCTCTGCCCATGCCATGAAAGCACCGCAATAATTTTAGATTAGGCATATTCGCAAATATGGAATCCACGAATAATGAGGATCAACTGTACTTAACTATGTTTTAAAGCTGTGACATTTATCTACCTGATCCACAGACTAGAATTTATTGCTGAATCACGCTCCAGTATTTTCACGACACTTTAAATACCCCTTCTGTCTGAAGGTAAATAATTCCTAATTGTGTAGTAGATAATTTGCTTTTCTCTGTTGCAGCAATATTTCAGGTCTTTGTTCATTCACTCAGTAATACTGAGAACTTACCATGTACGAGAATTTTACTAGACACAGCCATGAATAAAAATACAATTCTACCCTCTTGGACCGTCAAATACTGTGATAAGTGCTATGGCAGGGATTTACCAAATGTGCTGGATATTTTATTTGCCCCTTTAGCCCCACTCTGCTCTCTTCCCCACAGAACTGACCTGAATGGACCACAGCAGTGGGCTCCCACCTCCTGTCTTCTGGGTGGGTTTGGCCAAGGAGTGTCCTGGCCAGACATTAGAGGATGGCGAGGGTGTCTATCCTCTGGTCTTCTCCCAGGGACAGCTGCCGTAGCAGTCAAAGGTCACCACTTCTCCCAAACTTCCTTCCACCACTCTCCGAGTTGCCACTCCTTACACTCTTTCCTTCTGGCCAAGGGTGATGTCAGTTCTGCTGCTGCTAGCCCAGAGTTGCTGAAGCTCCTGTGCTTCCTCTGTGGGTCTCCTCTATACCTACACTTTTATATAGTAGCTCCTCAAAGTATTTTAAAGAACCATCTGTTGTTGGAACCAAGACTGATAAACCAAGAGAAATTCCTAGTGAGCAAGAATTCCAGTGAGGAGTATATCTCTTTGTCAGATCCTTGTCACCAAACATTATTAGAAAGGATCCCCTAACTTTATAGGGCATGTCCTAAGAGTTTTGATAACCAAAATCTTCTAGTGGATATCTATGCAGATAACTACACAAGGAAATGAATTTAAATTTGCCTTCTTTGGCAAGCCCTTAAACCAATGGCTGCAGCATTTAGTTGTGAGTTTTTGAGTAGGCCCAATTGTTTTTACTCCATTTTTTCAACCTAGTCCAGAGACTTTAAATACATGCCTTTTCTATCCAGATAAAATTTCAGTCTGAGAGAGGATATCTTAGTTTATAACTTTAGGATTGTTCAGAAGGCCTGTGATCTCTTAGCATGACATTAGAAAGAGGGCAAGATAGGTTAAGTTTTATGGAGTCAGATCTATCACTGGTCTCAATTCATTTTCAGTGCCTGCCTAGATCACTTCAGCTTTTTCTGTGCAATGGACTCCTCAGAATACCGTTTTTAAATGCAGAAAATGAAATGCACAGGATTACAAAGGAAACAAACTACATTGAAGTATAAACTATCAAAATATGGTAATTTGTGATACAGTAATATAGGTGTGCATTTAAAAAATATGTTGAGATCTCTGAAACACCTGTAATCTAATACGAAAATACCTGATTATTATTGATAAAGTCACAATCAGTAATACAACTGGATTGTTGTCTGCATTTATAATTGAAGGAAATAATAAATTTCAATTATAGTCTAGCAAAAATAAATTTTTTTCCCATCCAAGTTGAGGTATCCTCTGAATTCTATCCTTGAATCTCTTAGAGGTCTGTGTATTCCAGATTAAGAACCCCTGACCTAGCCAATCAGATCCACCAATGTTTCAAACAGGACTATAACATCATATTCCAAGGCCAATGATACTTAATCTAGCATAATTTAGTGTTTAATATTATCCACACCTCATATCCACTTCATTAGCACAAACTTAGTAAGTTATACATGTTGTATGAGATTTTGTGTAAGATAGCTATCCTACTCCGAAAGAAAAAGTCCAAGATACTATGTAGCAACTTTTTTTTTCAAGAGACAGGATCTCTTTCTGTTGGAATGCAGTGGCAGGATCATACCTCACTGCAACCTTGAATTCCTGGGCTCGAGCAATCCTCCTGCCTTGAACTCCTGGCCTCAAATTATCCTCTGGCCTCAGGCTTCCAAAGCACTGGGATTACAGGTATGAGCCTCTGTGCTCAGCCTCTAGCAACATTTAAATGGGAGAAGCAGGGAAGGATCGTACCCACACTGAGATTGTCTTTCTGTCATTCAACAAACATTCATGGAGTGATTTCTATGTGCCAAACATAATACTATTACAAAACTAAAAAAGCTAGTTTAGTGAGAGTCACAAGTATTCATGCAAATAGTTACAGCAGTATTGTGTGATGTCAGTAGTACCTATGTCATGCTTATGGGATTACATAAATGAGTAGTACCCAGCCCAGATTAGGAAGGTCAGGAAAGGCATCCCTTAGAAGTATCATGAGCTAGATCTTGAAGAATGAGTTGGTGTTAGCCAGGTAGAGAATAGAGGAAGTCTATTTTGGGTCAGTGCAGCAAGATATGCAAAATAGGAGACAATGGAGTGAGGTTGGCATGTTCCTGAAACTGAACAAAGTTAAGATGCAGCTAGAAAAGAGATGAGTGTGGAGAGGGATACAGGTGGCAGGTCATTGTTTGCCTAGAATACCTTCCTTTAGGAAATAGTCCTTCCCCTTCTGTAGGAAGTACCTCATTCCATTATAGGGCGACTAAGGAAGAGCACCCAATCCGAGCCAGGCCAATCAAAGTCCTCTCACTTCCTCAGGGATCTTGAATTCCAAGAACCATATGGGCCTGAAGATGCCAATGGCTGTGTTGCCGCTACATCAACAGAGCCTGTCCAGAAATAAAACAAACATGAAAAAAAGCATTACCAAGGGATGCATCAGGAAGACAAGGCCTTAGTGCTATCTTTGAATTCCTAGATCTAGTCCAGCCTAAAGCCACTCCTGGACTTTTCAGTTGCAGGAGCCAACAAATTCCTCATATTTGCTGAAGCTATTTTGAATGAGATTTCTGTCACTTGGAACTGAAAGGAGACTGATTTAGTAAGTATGAACAG